GTATTGGTAAATTTGTACGGAGCATAAGTTGACTTCAGAAGAACTCTTCATTTTCTTTGCTGATGGAGGTTGAAGAGATGATTTTTCAGACGTTTCCTGAAGTCACTTTGACTTAAGGCGTTAACATTTTTAGATCGACAGATTGCACATTCTGAATTTTTGAGAATGTTTCTCTAAAATAAGATAAGTTTAGTTTTTAAGTCACTAGAAATTATGGTTTGATGATCGCAGTCGACTCTTGTGTCAAATTTCTGAAATTAGATAAATCTGTTTCCAGAGATGGTTTTATTCATCCCTCACGAGAGGAGCATGTTTGTATATTACTCTACTTTGCCATCTTTGACGTATTGGTGAATTTTTACCTATTATTAGAATAAATGAATAAATAAATATTTTTGTCATTGCCTTCATGAAATGAACGAATTGCACCAAACTTTGAGACGTCACCAACCAGTTTGGCAACAGCTTTTAAAACATCAACTTACTGATCCCATGTAGACACCATCCGTCATGCTACAGAAATTAATCAAATTGCAGACAGAGCTGCAAATGAGAGCTTTTGCTGATTCAGCTGTCAAATATCGTTAAAGTGTCTTAGTCTTAATTTTTGTTGTTTAAAAGGAACATTCAGTACAAAGATAACTGACTTGAAATTTTATCAATGTCCAACAAAACTTCAAAATGTGTCACTAGGTTTCTGAAGTCATCTGCTGATGAAGTTTATGGAAAGTTTCCAACTACATGTATAACGATTTTAATGTTTAGTTCAATTTATATTCTTGACAAGATAACGACAAACAAGCGAACGCCGTAAAGCATTCAATATAAATTATCTCACATTAATTATTAGCTCTCCTTACATTATTTTCGCCTTTGGACTTTTGTGCTACCAAATTTTTAAAACAATTTAAAATTTTTTTTTCCAAATCTGAAAAGAAACAACAAATATGCTTTGTTATTTCGCAAAGTATGCGGCGGAAAATGTTAAAAATCTTTGTAGGTCATCATCAGTTCCAGACTATAAAATACCAAGCGAGGCGGTCAAATTGAAATAACATGTCAAAATTGTGTCGTTAAAATTTGTTTTACTTCCCTATATCATGTTCAATCTTAATAAAAGTTAGAGTTGTTATGATAGGATATGAATTCGTTCAGGTTGATCCTTTTATTTGTTTGCGCCTCTCTTTGTTTGAGAATATCTAAAACAAAATTTATGTGAAAAAACTTTATGTAATCAATTTGAAAATAGAAAAATGCAAAAAAATTTGAAAAAACTTTTACTGCGTAAATTCAAATAAACAAGGTTGTTTGCTTAATGCACAACAAAATGTAAATTTCAATCTTGACAGAAATAAATAAAAATTTAGTGTGTCTCAGCTATTTAGCTGCAGTGTCAGGCTCTCAAATGCAATTGCAATAAAAAAGCTCTTCGATCAACTTTAATTAGAGGGTCTGCGACGCTCCAGCCAGATACAAACGTTCTGAAATTTTTTTTTTCAAATTTATTTTGGGAACATGTAGAAGAGTTTTTTATGCAAACTATCTGACCATCTGATCAACAAATTTTATATTTTTACACACAGTTTTGCAAAGATTGAAGTTGAATTGCTGAAACAATTTTTTTGAATCGGTTCAATTCGCATTTGCTGTTGATAAGAAAATCTATTTATTGAGAAAATAAAAGTCGTTTTTAATATTTCAACATTTGTGTGATGATGCTCTAGTTTAGAAATTTGTATTTCTTATTTAATTTGAAAAATTAAAAAAACTTTCGAAAAAAATTTTTAAATTTTGTTTTCAATGCACGTTGTAAAGTACATTTGATGCATTGAACGAACACACGTCTGTCTGTAGATGTAAGCGTTAAATGCTAATGAAAAGGTAGGAGATGGGACGAAGGTTAGGTTGGGCCGCAGAATACATTTGTTAGCATGCTGATAAGATGAGGGGTTCAATAATTGATGGTGTCTGAGATGGAGACCGCTTTTATGAATGTCCTCTGATCATATGATAACATTGAATATAACATGATGACTGGATGAAAGTTGGTTATGGTTACGATAAAGAAGATGAATGTGATGATGATGTGAGACAAGATGATTCAGCTGTCTTAATCAGGTTTAAAAGCTTAATCAATTAGAAACTTGAACTCTGAAGCCACTCCCTTTTTTTATAAGGACTGACTATTTTATAATATTTATAAGAATCAAATTAAATCAATAAACATTATTAGACTGTCTATGACGATGCTGATGACGAAATCATAGAAACATTACTGGTGTTGAGTGACTATTGATAATGATAACAAAAAATTAACTTCATCCGAATTACGGGAAAACAATTAAATAAAAAAAGCAGTAGAACAAGAGTACTTGTTGTTTTTAGCATTCTATTGTTCAGTGCAAGCAGAAAAAAAAACAAAATTATCGCAAAGTGGCTTATTTAGCCATCTGTTACTCTTAAAACAGAAATGTCCAGTCCACGTAATTGTACGTTTCGGTGTTTAATCTGCCAATTTCTATGCTGCTTTGTTGGTTTGCACTGGTGTGAATGCGTACGTTGGTGAGTGGATGTTGAAGTTGCATTCGACTGTATGTAACAAAAATCTAAAAATATCTTAATTTGAGAAAAATTTTGTTTAAATGTAATTCTATGTAGTAGCTTACTGCGTTCAAAAAATGAAACGAAAATTTAGAATTTCGCTAAATTAAAAACAGGGTCAGTCACGGAAGCCCTCTCAAAATTCAACTGCAGTATTATATCGGGCGTTTGTAAGAAAGCCTGGAAATTTGATTTCAAGAGCTGAACTCTTAAAATAATGAATATAAAAGTCCAAAAACAGAAAAACCAACCCATTGTTGAAATAAAAAACACCTCTTATGAAATGTAATCAAAAACTCGTCAACTAGCAAACACGGTTTTGACTTTTTTTAGTTTCAGTTGAGAAGCATCAGCTGTTTCTCATCTTAAAAATCCAACGTTTAAGATTTTTGTAAGGGAAATGTTTCTAAAGATGAAAAGATTACTCGAACACAACCAAACGTAATGACGAAAAACAACGACAACAACAACAATATTAATAAAAATGAAGCGCCATAACAATCGACTGAGGCGCATTTTTTTTATTACAACAAACACACAGTGCATGCAAACACATGTGAATCAATGCACCACACACTTTCGTACGAGATAGACGGGGGTCTTTTCACAGTCGAACCAGGGCACTGCATCAGCAATGCCAGGCACCTTAACCATTACACCATCGCGCCGGCAATAATAATGTCAATGAGAGTGAAATAATCGTGCAATCACTGAGCGGCAAAAGTAGAACACAAAATTTTGAAATGGTGAAGAATTAACCAACTACTCTTATTTTCTTTTTTGACGATTTGCTGCAAACACGCGCATTGTAGTTTTTTTTCTTATGTAAGTTTCTAACAACTCATTTTAAACTGGATATTGTATAAAATATTTGACCGTTAAAAGCATTTTTAGTTAAAGTTCAGATTTCTGATCCTTTTTTGTTTGAAATCATTTAGTAACTCCATTCATTCATTCTTCCCTTAATAGTGTCTAATGCTTTAGGAGATTTTTATACATTAGCCTTTGTCATTTCAACTCATTGTGATTCTGAATATATATATTAGGTTGGTGCAAATATAATGTCGGTTTTATGTTAATAAATTTTTTATCACTAAATTTTTAAATACAATTTATTTGAATATATTGATCATTATATATCATTTTGAAGGTTATTTATTCTTCTATCTAGCCTTTATTAATTAATTGGTCCAACTATTCAGTGTCTTTGATTTTGAGCGATGAACTCAAGGTTGATCACACAACAGTAGTTCGTCATTTGAAACAGATTGGTAAAGTCAAAAAACTTGACAAGTGGGTTCCACATGAGTTGAACGAAAATCAGAAAAATCACAGTCCATGCAAACACACATGAACCAATGCACCCCACACTTTCGTAAGAGATAGGTGGGGATCTCTTCACATACAATACTGTGTTTAAATAATATATATATATATATATATATATATATATATATACAGTATTGTATGAATCCTACCAAATTGTTGGCATTTGGAATTAATCAATTTAAAGTTTGAAAAAGTTGAAAAAATTTTTATTGAAAATAGAAAATTTATAGAAAATTATTGAACGATTTCCAGAAAATTCTAATAAGGAAAATTGAAAAGACAAACTTTAAATTGATTAATGCCAAAAATTCGGTAGAATTCATACAGCACTGTATAAAATATGGTCTCCTTCCAACATATATAAATAATTTAAAAAAATAATATTTATATATATATATATATACATATGTGTGTGTGTATATATATATATATATATATATATATATATATAATCATATATGCATGTAACCTTCCATACCCAGCCAGCACTTGCAATTGTACTCTACATGCATTGTACATTCACAGGACTGTTGTTATGGACGGGGCAAATGTTCTCCATGAGACGGAACAACAAACGGAACTCGACTGCAGCAAAATGTGGTCGACTCTACACGTGTTGATCTGCCACACGAATTACATTGCACGCATTTCTACTAACAATTTTGCAAATCTAGACTCTATTATTAGAATATATTAATATAGATTTGATTGTCAAGTGTTGGTGAATGTTGTACGGATTTATTTACATTTGCTTTTGTGATTTCTATTTATTGTAATTGTAATACACACACACACCACTCACATACACACGCACACGCGCACACGAACGCACACACACACATATCATAAAGGTACATGTATTTGTTTTAAAATATTTTTTATTATGATTTACGAATAAATAAAAAAATAAAATGTAAAGAAATCACGTAAAGTAAATCAGGTATTAAAAGGTTAAAAGTAAGAAAGAAATGAATTAAAAAGAAAATAATTTTATTTACTAGTATTAATTAGCCAAAAAATATTTGAGTTGAAGTGCGCGTGTGTTAGTTGTCAATCAGCTGCAGTCCAAAATGGCAGGTTGGAAAATGTGGTGTGTGGTGGTGAAGTGTGATGTGTGTGGATGTGGAGCGGTGTGTGGTGGTGGTGATACGTGGGAGTGTGTGGTGGTGGTGTGTAGTGGTGGTGTGTGATGGTGATCTAAGAAATTTATTAACATTATTAAAAAATGTTATTTTATTTAAATTTATGAAATGCCATTTTAAATTGATTTCCGCAAAAATTATTAGTTAGTACGAGTTTTTTTGCCTTTAAAATTTATTTTTATTTTCATTAAATTTTTTTATAAACAAATCTATTTAAACTTTCAATGGAGTTTTCGATAAACAAATCCATTCAAACTTTCAATAATGAACAGAAGCTTCAAATAATTGTATGCAGTTATGCGAACCACAACACTAAGCGAGTCCAACATCTTTGAGAAGAGCGTACAGGAAATAAACAAACAACCTCATTAATCATTCTCCAACGCCGATAACCGGCCATTATTTTCTACTTTTTATTTCTCGCGTCCCATTCAACTTAATCATTCATGCCTATTCCGCACTCTAGATTTACTTCATCACTTTCAATGATCATGAAGTGTGTCATTACTTCTACTGAATTCGCATTTCAAATCAAGCACCAACAGCCGACAGGAACGACGCAAACTAATCGCATGTCTCTTATCGCCACAGCCTTCGTTGTTGGCGACCTCATACGTTATCTTCACTACCATTGAACACTGCCTCAAGATGAACGACCTTGACCTGACGCGATTCATCATTCAAAAACTTCTGACCCCTCCCCTCGTTCTGTTCGGATGTCTGGGCAACACCGTCAACATTCTCGTGCTCACACGCCCTGTCATGCAGAACACCTCCACCAACAGGTCGGTTGGAATTTTTTATTCACACATGCATGCCTGCTTGTTCGTGCTTCTTTGTCTGCTTGTGTACGTTTTTCATGAATGTTTATGAATATTTATGAAAGTTATGCTTATTTATGTAAATTTGTATTTCTTTACGTGTGCTCTGCTGGCTCATGTATATTTGTGTAAACTTATGTTGTATGCAAATGTCTTCTTTGTGTGTGCTTCATCCCCTCCGTACTGAAACAATAAGCTAATGTTTACTGCTTCCTTTGTAAATTGAATCACCATCGAGTAGATTCCCCATTCTTATTTTTTTTATTTTTTTTTTATTCTTTATAATGCGGCTCTGTCAAACGCTGAGCTCTTTCCACGTTATTATATATATATATATATATATATATATATATATATATATATATATATATATATATATATATATATGTAATTAGACCTTCGTGCCACAAAGACTGCACAATCCCCGCCATTTCACGCACACACGTCGTGCGGACACGCGTATGATAGTCTTTGAGTTTTGGACAGCGTGGAACATGGCCACTCTTACCAACTGAGCTAAACCGGTAACCAAATGCAATTTTTTCAAAAATTTTGCCGTGTTTTAAAGTTTTTTTGAAGAGGTTTTGCAGGTTTGAAAAATGTTTACAAAACAGATTCAAACATTTCGCCAGGAGCGATTGTTTCAGTTGTTTCAATTGATTAAAGCAATTTTCTGTACACTTTCGTTCTTTATGAATATTTAATTTAGCTTTTTGAAGTTTATTATTGCAGCAAATTTTTAGGTTTCTCAAATTAAGAAGAACTAAGTTATTTTAAAAGCCTCTGTTAATTCATGTCTGTGTATTTCGTCGGAATGCTGTCATAGCTTCGCAGTCAAATTAAAATTATTTACCTCTATTACTTTGTATATTTGTATTGTAAACACAGACACACAAAGACATACAGACAGACGCAAACAATCGCAATATGACTAACTCGTGCATGCATACACACCTCCTGTCTACAAACGCCAACGCTGTGTACCACCACCTCCACCACCGCATAACAACAGTCGCCACGTCCTAGCGACATGAACACGACCACTCTACGTCTCTTCATCATAAACACCAACCGTCATTTTTATGTTGGCTTACTTCGTCCCTTCCAAGTTTCATGCTCCTTGCTTTCTCCATACAACACACGAAATGATATCTTTCTATTAACATTCGTTTATCTGTAAGCTCTGTCCCAAACCATTCCCCAACCCAAACCCAACCCAAAAATGTTAGGCCTTTAAGTTCAATTAAATTTGTTGTCAATTTAAATGGCTTAAAACGAAGAGGAAAGAATTTTAAAATGAATGTTAATGTTACGTTGAAAAATTGTTGTTATCGTTACAACAGCATTCTGATGGAAAGTGAAGCAGTGCCTGTTGATGGTGTCAAAATTGAGGGCGTGCGTAAATTATAAACAATAGGAAACCCGATACTAAAGCCTGTGAGACTCCCGTAAACAAATAATGAAAAACATCTACTATCTAAGTTTAACAAAATGGAGACAATTTTAAAAACCAGGAACCAGGAAATTCTGAAAAGCCAAACATGCACAATTATACACCTGCGATTGATTGCAGAGAAGTTGTTGTTTGTGTTTCATTGTATGTTTGCACTCACTGACTTCAGTGCATGTCTCCACGCGATGTGATACAATGAGTCTCATGCGAATGCTAACATTCCATTAAACTAGCGATGCAACTTTGAAGCAAACCAGGAAATTCTGAAAAGCCAAACGTTACATACAACCAACCAGGCCAATCGGTCGACCAGGAAAAGAGAACATGGAGAGGAGGTAGTCTGTGGAAACAGCTGCTTAGGGTCAAAAGTTCAAGATTTTCAGGTGTAGTTGATGTAGTTGAGAAGCTTGAGTTAGAACAATAATTTAAAAAAAGTAGACAAGCTGGATTTTTTCAATAGAGTAAAATTTGGGCTGTTGTAAAAGTGGTAGAAAAAATACCGTTAATGAAGAACAGCTTGCCATTTTATTATAACACGGGAACTAAAAAAGAAACTAAAACTGTTTTATATAAGAAGTAGGCAGTGGAGAATTTACGTTAGGTAAGAACGGAATGAGATTTAATTGCTTTTGGAATTGTTGGCAGTTGTCGTGCTATAATATTTTGCATGATTGTGAGTGTAACAAGTGGCTAGATTTCTGTTTGTTTTTTGTCAGTTGATTTTTTTCTGTAGAGAGCTTTCCGAATTTAATGTGTTGCTAGTTCAATCAAGTACACGAGTTGTAGTTGCGTGGATCAATTTGTTGATTTCAGGCAAATGCAACATTGTACTGTTGATGATGTACGCTGTGTTATGGATCACTCATATATGAAATCAGCATGTTGCCTCGAATTCATCAACTTTTGTCTCTAGAATATTTAATGTTGTGTTCCAAAGCAGACTGACAAATAACTTGATTAATGTATGTAATCATTGAATTCCATCGTGATTCATTGTAAGCTGTGTTGTGTTATTGATGTAGTACCCACTCTCCTTGTTTGTTAACTGGTATTGTTGGAGTGATGAATTATTGCAAATTATGTTATATTATTTGCAAACGTGTTGTTTTTATAATTTTTTTATTGCATAACTTTTATTTTAATTAACTATGGTTAAATATCAATGTTATATTTGAATATGACACTGAATATTTGTATAGAATTGTAAAACTGATGTTTTGTTTTTCACAGTGGCCTCTACAAAACTTGTTTGTCTTATATGGTCTCCAGTCTCCATAAATTTACATTTTCATCTTTTTTCTTTGTAATTTGCTATTGTGGATTTTGAAAAAATTTAATCAATCAATCAATCAATCATTACTTTTGAGATATTTGAAATATTATTATTGTTAAGTTTTATGTTTTATATTAAAACATTATGATTTATAGTATACATTTATTTTCTTTGGACCAAATGTTCTTTGCTTTGTATGTAACTTCACTTTTCCTTTTCTGTTGATCCGGTTGATAATAAACAAGTCGAGAACGTTGCAAAGTTTATTTCTTGTCTATTAATGTCTTTCAATATTGTATCAATTAATTAAGCGATCTACGTAATAAGAAATTTAACAGGTTATGGGACCCAGATAACGTTTTTCTTAATTAATTGATTTGACGAAGAAAATTTAGAATAAAGAAATATCGGAAGATTCCTTTGTGAAGACTGAAGTGAAGAGAAAGCACGTGCTTCTTCATTCCCTGAAAATCGATATTTTGCTTCTAATTAAAAGGTCAAATTGAAAAGACAAGGAAGAAATGGATTCAAAGCTTCAAATAAAGCAGTTAAGTTGCGCAGCCGATTGGCCCATTTGGAAACGTCGTGTTCGAGATTTCATGGACTACCATGAGGGCGCACTTGATGTGATTGATGGGAAGTTGTCGAAACCAGAA